ACTTATTAACAATTTAGTATTTTCTGTCCATTTAAAATAATTAGGGCTTATTGATATATTTTCATTTTACATCAGTAATGAATAAGCTCAATAAGCTATTAAAATAAATAAAAAGTTATATTTAAAAAATCTGTATTTAGGTATCTTAATATTGTTGAAACAATTATTAACAAGCAACAAATTTAACCTTGGTAAATAATAATCAAATTTAAATTATTGAAATTTTTCAATTATTCCAAGAGTTTTGAAGCTATAATAATAATATTAATTGTCTGCATAAAATAATATAATTTATGCTATATGGAATAGGTTTACTGATAACTAGTTCTTAATTAATTTTTATTTTTCAGGTATGCGATAATACAATTCAACTGGGAATCAAAGTACCTTGGCCATCAGAATGGTCTTATAATCAATGGGTTGAAAAAAAAAACAAATACCCTTGGCTCATATGCATTGATGGAAAAATTGGTTGTGAATATTGTAAGTCAGTAGGTACATTAAAAACATTTCAAAGCAAAGGTGTTGAAATATCAAAAGAATGGTGCTTAACAATGATTGATGGTGGTTCCAATACAGTTAAAGCTGCCAGATTGACTAATTTACGGCACAATATTTTGAAACATAAGACCTCCAAAGCCCATACGGAAACTGAAAAAATTTCGCAACAAAAATGTTCTAACTTGTTAAGCAAAGCTTTTCAAACTGGTAAATCTAATTTCTACGATACAACGCAAAAAGTTTTTCGATCAGCTTACTATATTTCTAAATATAATAGACCTTATGATGACCACTCAAAATTAATTGAATTACAGCAGCTCAATGGACTTGACATGGGTACTACATTGCATTCAAGGTACTCTAGTACAAATATTATTTCCCATATTGCAGACAAAATGAAAACTAAAATAGTCCAAAATATAATAGCAACATCATCTAAGATTTCTATTCTTATAGATGAATCCACTACTGTTAGTTCTTTATCAGGTATGGTGGTTTATGTTAAAGCATCAATATTAAATTCAGAACCTGTTTTTTTATTTTTGGATTTGGTAGAATTAAAAAGTCAAACAGCTTCTAACATAGTCAACCAATTAATAGAATGTCTTCATACTTCTGGATTCACAGAGAATTTTTTGGTAGAACATTGGGTATCATTTGTAACGGATGGAGCTAGTGTACTTCTTGGTAAAAAAAATGGAGTGGCTGTACGTTTGAAAGAGAAGTATCCTTTAATTTTTAGCTGGCATTGTCTTAATCATCTGTTAGAGCTAGCAGTCGGTGATACTTTAAAGGAAATAACTGCTACCAACCATTTTAAGTATTTTTTAGATTCTTTATATTCTTTATACAGTAGATCTCCAAAAAATCAAATTGAGTTAAGAGAACACTGCACAAGTCTAAATGAAATTTTTTTAAAAATTGGAAAAGTTCTTGATGTTCGCTGGGTAGCAAGTAGTTTTAGAACAATTAGTGTAATTTGGAAAATATATCCAGCATTGTATAATCATCTTGTTCAAGCCTCTAAAGATACACTTCGTGATAGTAAAACGAAATCTAAGTACAGTGGGCTAAGTAAGCGTTTGGGATGTATACAATTCTTGTTAGACTTAGCCTTAATGTGTGATATTTTATTTGAAATATCACAATTATCTCTTGACTTACAAAAACAAGA